GCTCGGTGTCCGTTAAGTGTTTCACAGTTTGCCTCGGGTTTCCCTTGGGTTTTTGTATGGGAAATCGAAGCTTAACCTATGGAAAAGAAGGGCCTCGTTCCTTATTTAGGGTTCCTTAGGTCAACGCCCCGACTGCAGGGAGGCAGCGCGGATCCGAGAAATAGCCACGCGGACCTCCAACAGTTTATGTTCGTAGTGGTTCTTTCTCCTCCTCTGCCTCCCGGATCGCGCGGATCGCGCCAGGGGGCGGCGCTGGCGGTGCCGCCAGGGGTGGGGGGGGGGGGGGCAGGCGCGGATCCGAGAAATAGCCGCGCGGAGCTCCAACAGTTTATGTTCGTAGTGGTTCTTTCTCCTCCTCCCCACCCGCCGGGCGCCCCTGGGGCGCCCTGGGCAGCACCCAAGGCGCGCCCCGGAGACGCGCCCGCCCCGCCCCGCCCAGGAGCTCATAGTGGCGATGGCGACGGCGGCGGCGACGACTGCGACGAACACGATGACGGTTGCGATGATGCAAGCGACGACGATGGTGATGATGATGATGATGACGATGTTGTTGAGGATGCTGATGCTGCTGTTGATGATGATGATGATGATGATGATGATGATGATGATGTTGATGATGATGATGTCGGTAATGACGATGATGGTGATGCTGATGGTGGTGATGGTTATGGTGGTGGTGGTGGTGGTGGTGATGGTGACGGTGATTGTGATGACGACGATGACGATGGCGATGACGATTCTGATGCTGCTGCTGATGATGGTGATTATGGTGATGAATTTGTCAATGATGATGATGATGATGATGATGATGATGATGATGATGATGATGATGATGCGGATGATGATGATGACGATGATGATGCTGATATCAGGATGATTGTGGTGGCGGTGGTGGCGGTGGTGGTAGCGGTGATGTTGCTGCCGAGGTTGACGTTGCTGATGCTGATGTTGTTGAGGTTGATGATGCTGTTGATGCTGATGATTACGCGTCTGCTGATGATGATGCCGATGACGATGATGCTGATGGTGATGATTGTGATGATGATGATGATGATGATGATGATGATGATGATGATGATGATGATGATGATGATGATGATGATGATGATGATGATGATGATGATGATGATGCGGATGATGATGATGATGGGATGGTCGAGGGAGGATGTGGAGAAACTGCGATGAGGAGGGTGATCAGTAATAGCAATATCGACGAGGACGGACTGGAAATATGAGGATGAACGAAACAGGTAAAGAGGACGAGGAGGAGTGATGAGAGAGAGAGAGGGAAAATATGCTGATGTAGCTGATGAGGATGATTACAATGATGCTGCTGCTGCTGATGATGATGATGATGGTCACGTTGGAGGATAATCGGGCAGCAGGAGGTAAACGGATGATGAATAATGCATGGCCCGCGAGAAGGATCGGCGGCGCTGTGGATCCGTTGGGCTGCCGCCATCTACCCCGTCTTCATCTCCTCCACCGCCTCCTGTCGCTGTCCCCACCTCCCTCTCCACCACCCCGTTCCCCCTTGTTCTTCCCTCTCTATTTCACTGCCGTCGTCGTCGTCGTCGTCGTCGTGGTCGTCGTCGTCGTCGTCGTCGTCGCCGTCCTTTTCCTTGTCTTCCTCGTCTTTGTCGTTTTTGTCGTCGTCAACGTCGATCGTCGTCGCCGACCTCGTTTCCGTTGTCGCTTGTGGCTTGCCGTTTGTCGTCGTCGTCGTCGTCGTCGTCGTCGTCGTCGGCGCCGCCTCGGTTGTCTCTGTCTTCGTCTGCGTTGTCGTCGTCGTCTGCGTCGTCGTCGTCGTCGCCGTCGTCGTCGTTGCTGTTGGTTGTCGGTCCTCGGTCGTCTCCGCCCGCTGCGCTTCCGCAGTGCCCCGCGGCCTCCGCCGCAGCGCCCGCCGGCCTGCGCCGCCGCGGGGCCCCGGCGGGTGCAGGCGCCACCTGCGCGCCTGCAACGACGGGGAGGCCCACCGCGCGCACCAAGCGCGCCAGCGGAGCCAGAAGGCGGCGGCGGAGGCCCACCGCCGAAGAGGAGGAGGAGGACCGGAGGGGGAGGAGGAGGAGGAGGAGGAGGTGGAGGAGGAGGAGGAGGAGGAGGAGGAGGAGGATGAGTAGGAGGAGGAGAATGAATGGAAGGAGGAGGAGAAGGAGGATATGGAGGAGTAGGGGGAGGGGGAGGAGGAGGAGGAGGCGGAGGAGGAGGAGGAGGAGGAGGAGGGAGGAGGATGAGGAGGAGGAGGAGGAGGAGGGGGAGGAGGAGCGTGTCAGGAGGAGGAGGAGGATAATATTGAGGAGGGGGAGGGGGAGGAGGAGGGGGAGCGTGTCAGCAGCGGGCCCTCTACCTTGGGCGCCTGGCGGCCCCCGAGGCACCTGAGAGGGGCGCGCGGCTGAGGCCCACCGCCTCCTGCTGGCGCGTGGGCGCAGAGTGGCAGTGGCTGGCGTAGTCCAGGCCTCCTAGATGGGGTCGGAGTGGATGGGGTCGGTCAAGCAGTGGCGAAGCGTCCTGGCTCACCTACAGCCCTACCAAACAATGTCCTAAGAACCTTTCGTGCTTTCCACGAGCTGTTCTTAGAACATTTCTGGCGGAGACTGTCTTGTTTTATCACATCGGGTCTATGTTCTAAGAAGATTGTTTGAGTTCTTAGAACATTTTTGGGGTTCTGAGAAAATTTCGTGGTAGGACTACAGGAATGCCGGGACGGTCGGTCCCTGCTCAAAGATGGGGTCTGAGTGCCGCATCGTAGATGGGGTAGTCTAGGCCTCCCAGATGGGGTAGTCTGGGCCTCCTGGATGGAGGATCGCGCCGCGTCGTCGACGCATCGGCGATGCGGATCGATGTGGATGGAGCCCACTTTCTTTCACGTCGACGTCTGCGATGCATCGCCAATGCATCGGCGAAGCACTGGCGATGCGGCGCGATCCTGCGACCCCACCTACCCGGACCCCATCTGGGAGGCCTCGAGGTGGGTGGTGGAGCGTTGTTGCTGCGTGCGCAGTGGTCCAGGTTCGAAGCCCGTGCAGCCGAGCCAGCTGTATAAGGCGGAGGCGTGCGGGACACCCGGCACGGCGGGCACGGCACATAGCATCTGACTCCTCCTCCTCCTCCTCCTTCCAGTTCGCGCGCGATATGGGCCGCTTCCGTATTTGGTGCAGACTGTTGGACGCGCTGAGCGGTATGCCATCAGAGAGGAATTTGAGGCCTTTCCTGATCACCAGTGCTTCGTGACGGACCTGCTGGCGCTGGCGCAGCAAGGCGAACGCTGGTATCCTGAGCTCGCGCAAGGACGGGCCAAGCATGCCCGCGCCTGGCCGGGCATCTTCGAGGCTTGCCGACGACGGACCTTATGCCGCCCTCCGACGTTCAGGTGGACGCCAGCCCACAGGTCTTTGGATGAACTCATTGGTGCCGACCCCTATGAGTTGCGAGACTGGATTGGCAACGGATGGGCAGACTACTTCGCTCGCTGTGGAGCCGCCTCCCATGCGCTGGCTGGCTCCGTGGCGGAAGCCGTTACTGCTGCTCTGGGACAGCACCGTAAGGTTTTACAGTTTGTCTCCTGGGCTGCGCTGCAGGTTGTTGTCCGTAAGGCCTGGGACGTGATGTGGAGGTTCCGCGGCCACCAGGCGAGCATACTGTGCCCGTTTCGATTTCGCGCAATACGGACAATGTCCTTGCGCATTAGGCTTCGTTAGGCAGGTATCGATGCGTCCTCTGCGGTGTCACGGCCGCTACGGGTGCCTCGTTAGACTCTCTGCAGACAGGCTCTCATCGTGAATGTCGGCCGTCGCGTGTGGCGCGCGCCCTCAACGCCGAGTACTTTCGCAGCTGTGGCGGCGATTGGACACTATGTGGTGACCAACGTGCTTGTGTTGCTGCGGGGGCTGCGTTGGCGAGCGAAGGACGGCCAACAGTTTCTCAACAGGAGTCCTGGCCCGCCCAGCCCATGGCTGAGGACGCGGCAGCGGTGTTTGCAGACTTGGGCCACGACGTGTTCCTGAACAACCAAGTTTACTGCTGTCGCAGGTGCGGCGCGCACTGCTCCATTGGGGAGGTCCGCGCTGTGCGCAAGCTGGGCATTTCCTGCGCTGGTCTTTCTGGCAATGCGGCCACGCGAAGGAACCAGCTTGACGTGGTCAAACGGGTCGAACGTGGACTTGCCCCTCTCGCTCGTCGCCCCCTCGTAGCTTCGCAACCCGTGAGGGTGGATGGCCGCGCCATGTGCAGGTAGGGACAGCCTGCCGTCCCTACCTGCAGGCTCTCCCGCCGAGGATGCTGGGATATCTAGCCATGCAGCGAGGACCGCCCATGGCGCGCTCTGTCGCAAGTCTGGGATGGTAGTACTATTGTGCACTACGTCTCCGACGGCTTCGTGGGCTCCCTCTTCGTCGAGCCCTACGTCTTCACCTTCCGCCTCCTCGTGGCGCTCCTCGCGCCATGAGTGCAGGCACCCCGCCGCGGCTAGTTGCCCCTGCAGCTTGAAGCGGCGCGGCGGCCCCGCGCTCCTCCTCCTCCTCCTCCTCCTCCTCCTCCTCCTCCTCCTCCTCCTCCTCTCCTCCCCTCTCTTCCTCCTCCTCATCTTCCTCCTGTCTCCCTCCGCCCCCCCTCCTTCCTCCTCCTCCTCCTCCTCCTCCTACCTCTTGCTCATCCTCCTCTTCCTCCTCCTCCTCCTTTCCTCGCCTCCTCCTCCTCCTCCTCTCCTCCTCCTCCTCCCTCTACTCCTCCTCCTCCTCCTTCCTCCTCCTTCTCCTTCCTCTCCTCCTCCTCCTCCTCCTCCTCCTCCTCCTCCCCCCCTCCTCCCTCCGCCTCCTCCTCCTCCTCCTCCTCCTCCTCCTCCTCCTCCTCTTCCTCCTCCTCCTCTTCCTCCTACTCCTCATCCTCCTCTTCCTCCTCCTCTTCCTCCTCCTCCGCCTCCTCTTCCTCTCCCCCTCTGGCTTTCGCCCCGCGGACGCCCCGTCCGTGCCCGCTCCCGGGGCGCCTCGCGGGCCCCCCGCGCGGCCGCGCGGGTGTCCCGAGGCTTCGCCGCGCTGGCGCCCACGCCCGCGGAGTCGAGGGAATGGCATTCTAAGGTGGGTCCCAGCCGACCTGCCTCGCAGAGCGCGCTGCCTGTTGAGGGGAACGCGAAGTAGCATAAACACAAAAAAGTCGGAGCTCCGAGCTTTTATGTTCATGTCAGTTTTTGTTCTCCGAATTATAAGGTGGATCCCAGCCGAGTTGCCTCGCTGAGCGTGTTGCTTGTTGCTTGCGAGTCGGAGCCCTCGGTCACGACCCTCGGGGATTTCTGCCGACATGCTCCTGGCGAGCTCTGGGCTTCGAGTGCGTGCGCTGCTCCTGGCTGCCGTTGTCCTCCTCGGAGCGGAGCTTACGACGAACATCGGATGTGCTAGCACGCGAAAGTGCACCACATCGATGGCACCGCGTAGCTTGCGTCACATAGATCGCACCACATATGTTGCATCACACAAGGCACACATCGAACATGCTGTAGCGTACTGAGCCCACGCTGTCAAACACTTCTGGACGTCCCGTGGCCCGCGTCGGGCCTTCACGGCCGCAAGTGGACAGCAACTGTTTCGCATCTCCTCCCTCCCTTTTTTCCTTGCCCTTCCTTCCCTTCCCCTCCCGTCCTCCTCCCCTCCCGTCTTTTCGTTCCCCTCCTCCCTCCCTTCTGCTTCCTCGTCTCCCGCCCCCTCACTTTCGCCCTCCTCATCCCTCCTCACTCCGCCTTCCCGATTATGATGATGATGAGCAGGAGGAGGAGGAGGAGGAGGAGGAGGAGGAGGAGGAGGAGGAGGAGGAGGAGGAGGAGGAGGAGGACGAGGAGGAAAAGGACGAGGAGGAGGAGGAGGAAGAGGAGGAAGAGGAGGAGGAGGTCCTGCTCGACAGGCGGCGAGAAGGAAGGAGGCGGCGCAGCTCAGCGTCGCCTCCAGCGCGGTGTGGAGCTTCTCGGGCGGGCACGCGAGCCAGGCCCTGCCCTGCCTCCGGGCGCTTCCCACGTGGAGGGAGAGGCGGCGAGGGAAAGAGGCAGGGAGGGAGGGAGGGTCTGCACGAGCGAAATGGGTACGGAAAGAGGAGGTGACGGAGAGAAACGAGAAGGGGTACGGAAAGGGAACGCTCTCGAGGTGGAGGGGTAGGCGGCGAGGGAACGAGGCAGGGGGGGAGGGAGGCACGGCAAGCAGGATCGGGCAGGGGAGGGAGGGACGGCAAGCACAGCACGATGGAGGGAGGGAGGGAGGGAGGTTTTGCGTCTTTTTTCTATTCATCGCAGGCCTCCCGGGTGGCCTTCCGTGCCGTGGACTTCGGTCCATTTGGCACCCCTGGAGAGGCCGGGAGGGAGGGAGGGTCTGCACGAACGAAATGGGTACGGAAAGAACGGGTACAATGCCCAAACAGCAGGTCCTGTACATTTTGAACAGGACCCGCTGTCCGCGCCGCCGCGGCCTGCGTCCGTTCGAGACAGAAGGCCGCCTGCCCAACAGCGGCCGCTGTCGGTTTGGGACGACATTTGTTGTTGGGCATTGTACCCATTTTTTCCGTACCCATTTCGGGCGTCCAAAGAGGGACGGCAAGCAGGATCGAGGACCAAGGTGTTGCGTTTTTTCATTCATCGTAGGACTCCCTGGTGGCTTCTCGTGCCTTGGACTTCGGTCCATTTGGCACCCCTGGAGAGGCCTTGGGGGCCGACTCTTGAGCGGGAGTGGGGGGGTGGTGGGAGGGAACGGGAGGGTTTGGTGCGAGGGGAGGGCGGGAGGAGGTCTCGAACCAGGGAGACGGGCTGGGGTGAGGTATATGGATTGGTATAGTTGTAGGGGCTACAGGGTGTAGGTATTTATACGCATACAGAGAGAGAGAAATAGAGATATATAGAGAAAGAGAGATATAGAGAGAGGGAGAGAGAGGGAGAGAAGAGAGGTAGAGAGAGAGAGAGAGGGAGAGAAAAAGAGAGAGAGAGAGAGAGAACGAGAGAGAGAGAGAGAGAGAGAAAGAGAGAGGAGACAGAGAGAGAGAGAAAGCAAGAGATGAGGCAGAGAAAGAGAGAGAGGGAAAGGGATATATATATATATAGAGAGAGAGAGAGAGAGAGAGAGAGAGAACGACAATCATGGGGGGGAGGACTGGTTAAAGTCAGAGGGAATGGTGGCGGGGAGTAGGTAGAGGAATCTGTCGCGCGCGCGGGGGCTGGCGCGTTCGAGCCTTTCTCTGTTGCCGCCAGCTGTGGATGCTCGACACCGAGCAGCTGAAGAAGCACTGCTCGCAGGACCCCCCCCGTTTTCTTGGTGCATGAAGCTGCGTGCGTAGGGAGGTCGGATCTCAGGCGACTCGTTTGGGGAGTATGTAGGGGAGGAGGAGGAGAAGAAGGAGGAGAAGGAGGACGAGGAGGAGGAGGGTTAGCGAACGCATTCGGAGCATGATAAGGAGGGTCATAAGTAACAGTAGCAGTAGCAGTAGTGGCAGTCGACGTAGGAAGATGAAAAGGCAGGAAGAAGGGGAGGAAGAGGGGGAAGAAGCGGTGGAGGAGTAAGGAGGGTATCGAGAAGAACAGCGTGCTCAATACAGGTGGCGGAGGAGCAGAAGGAGGGGAGGAGGAGGAGGGGGATGAGGCGAGGAGCATCACATGCAATTGTCTGGCGGAGGATGAGAGTGCCAGGGTGTGCATGACGTCCCGGTGGGGAGATTCGCACCCCTTTTTTTGTCATCTTGCGTGCCATATGGCCGCTTCCATCTCCCCCTTGGCTGATCAGGATGGGAGGATGGGAAGGTCAGATGGTGGGGAGCAGAAGGAGGAGGAGGGGAAACCAAGAGGACGGGGGAGCAGGTGGATCAGGGCAAGCTAGTTGCTTGCGCCATATCTGACATCCCACCCTTACCACCCATCTCTTTTCATTGCGTTGTTTTTTACTACATCCGTCGATGAGGTGTCCATTCGGACCTGGGTCCCCCCAACGACCCCATCATGACATGCGCAAGCAGAAAAGGGGGGCTCTGAACATTGGAGGTGGAGGTGGTGGCGGGTGGGCATGATGATAATCAGGGGAACGAGGAGAGCGATGACAGGGGAGGATGACGAGCAGCAGCAGCAGCAGCAGCAGCAGGAGCAGGACGAATGGGAGGAGCATGGGGCCCTGATGACCTGAAAGGAGGGGGGGGCGGCAACGACGAGGAAGGACTTAGGACCTGTAGAACTGTGGCCCACACCAGGGCAAACGAGCGCCGTTTCGCGCGATGGAGGCAAGCTCCGATCCTGGACATGAGGGTCAGCGCTGCAGCGGGAGCACCACACCGAACGATCAGGCGCGTTTCGAGTGCAACAGCACGCGCACATGCTTTCCAGCGATGACGCCCAAGCAGTGTTTTTTTTGCCATGCGGATGTGTAAGCTGCGTGGTGCAATACTCGTAGGGCACTATTCGGCGTAACCTATGTGGTGTAAGCTATGATATGTAAGCTATATCGTGGTGCAAGGTTTCTGGTGTTCAGGGGGGACCCCATACCCCCCCTTCCCTCCGCCTAAACCCCTTGCCCCCTTCCCCCCCGCGTGGAAGGGATCATTGGGAAGGGGCTTGGGTGAAATCACCTCGGGCTGGCGAGCTTGGAGAGCTCCAGGTGGCCACAGGAAAAAGGAGGGGAGAGCTTCATATGGAAAAGCGAAACCCAGGATCACCCATGGGCGACCCCCCTCAGTATCTGTCCGACTGGGGCTCTTCCCCTGGCTTTAAACTTACGTATCCAGCGCCAGACGAACAGCACTATGAGTAGGACTACAATGCTGCCTAGCAGGATCGCTACCTGCCTCTTCATCCTCATCCTCGCCCTGCCCCGTTCTTCCTGCTTCTCTTCCTACTCCGCCTCCTCCTCCTCCTCCTTCTCACACATGCCGACCAGATCGGCGGATCTCCAGGTAGATTTCGGTAAGCACACTCATAGCTGATGATGATGATGATGCTGATGATGATGATGATGATGATGATGATGCTGCTGATGATGATGATGATGATGCTGATGATGATGATGATGATGATGATGATGATGATGATGAGGAGGAGGAGGAGGAGGAGGAGGAGGAGGAGGAGGAGGAGGATGACGAGGAGGAGGAGGCGGAGCGTTGATACTTCTTTCTCGCGGCGGTATTCATTTGCTCGAGGAAGCGTTCGAGCGGTCGGCGGGAGGCTTGCTAGCCGGGCACGTCCCTCTACAGGACGAATCTCCAACAATAGTCCAACACTAGTCAGGTGACGATTGTCGTTTTTTTGTTGCTGTTGTTGAGTATTGTTTGGGCCACTCTCTGTATTTCTCTTCCAACCTCCGCCTGTAGGATGACATGCTCGGCCTAAGCTGAGGGTGGGAACATAACATGCGGTTATGAACAGAAATGGACCTCCCAAGAGCCCAATGCAGATGTAGATAGTAGATCGTGTGGTGGGGGCACGATTTGTCCGCCCTATTTGCTTCCAGTGTGTGCATCGCACGACACGCGTATTCCATAGTCATTGAAGTGGTCCACGGCCTTCCACGGCCCAGCTCCACGGCCTCCTCCTCCTCCTCCTCCTCCTCCTCCTCCTCCCCTGCTCCTCCTCCTCCTCCTCCCGCCTCCTCCCTCCTCCTCCCTCCTCCTCCTCCTCCTCCTCCTCCTCCTCCACGCGCCCTTCCACGGCCCAGCTCCAGCTCCCCCCGCGCGCGCGGCTCAAGCACGTGGGAGCTGGTGGAGGCCGAGGCTTCGACATCGAGCCTCGGACCTTCGGAATAGGTACTCGAGCATCGAGCATCGACATCGACATCGAGCATCGACATCGACATCGACATCGACATCGAGCATCGTACTTCGGAATAGGACATCGACATCGAGCATCGATGAACGAGCCGCAGGTGCTGAACGCGTTCAATCAGCTAGGCGAGACGTTGCGCCAGCAGCAACTGGCGGCGCAGCATCATCAGCAGCAGCGTTCGGACGGCGCGCTGGCAGCGGTAGCCGCCCAAGTGGCGGAGCAAGGGCGTGCGCTCCAGGCACCGCTGGAGCAGAACAAGGTGTTCCTCGAGGGCGAATCGAGGGAACGCCGTAAGGAGGGGCTCATCGATACGAAGGTTGTGGGCAAACCGGTGGCGTTCACTGGAATGGAGGCCGACTGGCAGGGACGGAACTTTAAGTTTGTGAGTTGGCTCAATGGCGAGTTCAGCGACGCCGAGGTGATCCTCGAGTGGGCTGCCGGCCTCGGCAGCGAGACGGTTACAGAGCAACGGGTGCAGGACATCGTGGACGAGCACCCGCGGGCTCAGCTGCGCGCCATCTTAATCAGCTTGACCACGATGGGCACGGCAGCGTTCGACATCGTGAAGAACACTCGGAAGAATTGTGGCCAAGACGCTTGGCGCCGGCTCGTGCGGAAATTCGACCCGAACAATCCGGTGGCCAACCTCCGGCTGCTGAGGAAGATCTTCTTGCGGCCTGTGCAGGTCGGGATCGACCAGCTGCTCAGTGCGATTGAGCAGTGGGAGCACGACTACATGCACTACAAGGAGCGGGCGGGCGAGGAGCTGACACACTCCATGCGGAAGGCGTGCTTGCAGAACACGTGTCCGAACATGTCGAGCGACCACATCGACTGAATGTCGCCCGCCTTGACACGTGCGCGTCCCTGAAGACCGAGGTCGAGCGGTACATCGAGCAGGTGCAGGCCAGGACTGGCCTGGCTCCGATGGACATCGGGTCGCTGGCACGCGGCGGCAAAAGACCCCAAAGGAGGCAAAGGCAAAGGTAAGGATCAGGACTCCAAACGCAAAGGAAAAAACGGCCAAGCCGGCGGGAAACCGACTTCGGGTCCCGCTGGTGCTGGCAGAAGGGGCCGCCCAACAGCCATTCCAGGGGTGCTGCGATCGGTGCTGGCGGTGGGGCCATAGGAGGGCTGATTGCTATAGCCGGTCCGATGTGAACGGACGCCAGCTTCCCCCGCGAGAGCAAGGAAACGGCAAAGGTAAGGGCAAGAGCAGCGGCAAGGACAGGCGCGGTAAAGGCCGCGGAGGTGCGCGCGAGCTCTTTGACGCTACTGGTGGCTACCCACAGGAGCAGACGCAGCAGCATATCCCGGGCGAGATGGTATCGCTGTTCATGCTTGTCGGGGTTCCCGAGAGTGAGCCTGAGCCCGACGAGGGCGCGCCGCCTCCCGAGGCGGACGAGGCTTCGTATTCGAGCCTCCGCCGCCAGAGCGAGCTTGAGGATGAGACGAGCTATTCGTCAACGCCGCGCTCTGCAAGCAGGAGTGCGTCGCCGACGCCGCCGCCGCGCACCAGGGCCAGGATCGTCAGCGGGAGGCTGGGCACGGGCAGGGTTGCTGCCCCGGACTCGATCAGAAAGGAGAGAGGAGGACAGGTCATCACGAGGGGGACTGCGGAGGAGAAAGAGCAGAGCACAGAGGAGAAGGAAGAGGAGCAAGAGAAAGAGAAGGCAAGGAGAGAGACGAAGAAGGAGGACGGGAAGACATTGAAGAGGAAGGACCATCGGCATTCCGACAGGTACTGCGACGACTTGGCCGCCGGTCTCTCCAGGAAGCTCGCCAAACGAAAGGAATGCAGCAGGCAAAGGTTGGAGAGACGTCTTGCCGCCGTCGCTGGCGAGGGGAAGAGCAGGGGGGAGAAGGGTCAGAAGGAGGAGGAGATGAGCAGAGAGGACAAGCATGGGGAGATGTGGACCCGCGACGGCGAGGCTGCCAGTCGCAAAGCAAGGAGCTGGGGGAAGCCTGCCAGCGCCACGCGGAAGACGCAGGCGCAGAAGGAGAGGAGGAAGAGGTTGAAGAAGGAGAAGGAGGATAGAGAGAGGAAGGCATCAGGTCTCGACTGGGGCGTCTGGATCCAGGCTCAGCGCGCGGCCCGGCAGGGGCGCCGCAGCCGAGAGGAGCTGGCCGAGAACCTAGGCACTACGCCCAAGAGACAGGCGAGGCCCAAAGGGGGGCCTCTGCCATAGCGGCGGCATGGCGACTCGGCTGCGCCATGGAGCCGAGTCGGCGGGGGTGCCCCGTGGGGCCCAGCAACCGAGGAGGACCCCCGGTGTGGCTCGGCTTCGAATTTGAGCCGGGCCCGCCAGGAGAGAGGACGAGCTCCATCGGGATCGCGAGGATCTACCTTCAAACGACCGCAGTTCAGGGATCCGCCCTGGACAGCCTCGGATCGGGCGTCGAAGAGGGCAGCCAAGGCATCGCAATCGAGCCTCGGTCGCCCAGCTGATTCGGCTCCAGACTGGGGCCGGAGTCGCCCGGCGGGGGGAGGTGGAGGAGGGGGGTCAACGCATTGGGAGGCTCTGGAGGCTGGGCAGACGCCGCGCCAGAGCCTCGGCGCAAGTGGCAGCAGGAAGGCAGCAGGCGCGTCGACATTGCCATCGATTCGAGCGCGTCTACTTCGATCTTGCCGCGGCACGTTGCCAAAGACCACCCTCTCAAGACTGGCGTGTCACCGCGTGTGCGCAAGACCGCCAGCAAGCGAAAGGTCCACGAGGACGTCGAGAAGGGGCTCATCTGCGGCTTAATGGACGGCGGCGACGTGCGCGCGAGCTGGGAGGTTGGAGACATCCGCCGCCCGTTGAGTTCAGTGCGTAGGATGGTCAAGAGCGGGGGCTGCGTATGGCTTGACACCGAGGAGAACGGAGGTAGTGGGATCTACAACTACCAGATAGGAGAAAACCATGGAGATATGTGCGAAGGACGGCGTCTACGTCCTGCCAGCGTGGATCAAGAAGGCGAAGAAGGGTCAGCCGGGGGGCTTCACCCGGCAGGCTTAGCCGTAAGTCCGGCTCGAGGCGTGTACCCCATCATCGAGGAGGAACTTCCAGCGGCAGCCCCCAGCATGGGGGGGGCTGCTATGCAGGCTCCTGGGATGGAGAGTGCAGCTGCGTTGGCTGGAGGCGAAGGGGCGGCGTCGGTGGCGATGACAGCGCTGCCGAGGCCAACCGAGAAGATGATCGAGGACCACGAGGTGCCACATCTTCCCTGCAGGTGCTGGCGTGCAGCGTGCGTGCTGGGGCGCGCGAAGAGCTGCCCGCACTTCGCGCGCGACAAGAGGGGCGATGTGTACTCCACCTTCAGCGTCGATTACGGCTTCTTCGGAGTGCCTGGAGAGGCGCCTTTCGAGGCATGGCGAGGACCTGCCGGCGATCGTGGCATGCGATCGCAAGGCAAAATGCCGGTTTGCACGTCCAGTTCCGCGCGAGGGCCTGGAGAAGGACGGGGCGGCGACCCTGTGCCCCGCGCGCGTTCTGGCGAACGACCAGGGCAAGCTGGGGCGCAAGAAGGTCAGCGCCAGGAGCGACCAGGAGAGCTCCATCAAGGCAGCCACCCAGAAGCTGAAGGAGACGCGGGCCGGCGAGATGGCCATCGAGCTGGCCCCGAAGGGCGAGATGGCCAGAATTGGCGAGGCAGAGCGCGCGGTCCAGAGCATGCACGGGCTCGCGCGGACTTTGAGGGGGCATGTCGAGCAGTGCGCTCGCATGAAGCTGGGCCCGAAGAGTCCGGTCATCGCGTTGCTCACCGAGCACGTGTCGAGCCTGTTCTACATCTTCAACCGCGGCGACGACGGCGTGGCGCAGTTCCAGCGGGTGAAGGGCACGGAGTGGCAGACGGCACTTCCCGCGTTCGGCGAGAGCGTGGGGTCCGAGAGGAGGGCGCGCCGCAAGCTGGAGGCGCGATGGGGGAGAGGTCTCTTCCTGGGTGGTAAGGTGGAGTCGACGGAGAAAATCTCTGGCGCCGAGAGAGGCGTCTACGTCGTGCAGTCGGTGCGGGGGGTGCCCGACGAGCAGCGTTACGACTCCGAGGCGTTGAGCAAGCTGAAGGGCCTTTCGTGGATGTCTGTCTCGGACGGCTTAGCGGACGAGGAAATGCGCGAGCTCCCCGGCGCGGCGGAGCTCGAGCCTGAGCGCCCCGAGGTGCCTCCTGTCCCCGCAGAGGCGGCCGAGCAGGTGAGGCAGCAGAGGCGCTACAACATCGCGATCGCGGGCTTGGAGGAGTACGGCTTCTCCGAGGGCTGTCCGGCGTGCCTGGCCACTCGCGCGGGCCACCCCAGGTCGGGCTTGTTGCGCGCGCCGGAGTGCAGTGACCGGATCGAAGCTGCAGTCGCGGCCGATCCCAATCGCAATTCTCGGCTGAGGGCTGCGAGAGCGCGGCGAGCAGAGAAGTGGCCTGCCGTGGACCAGCCCGCGGCGAGCAGCGCGGGCAGGCGACCCAGGATACCTGCTCCTGGAGCGGCTGCAGGGGGCGCGGCTTCGTCTTCGAGCCGGCCGCCCCTGGCGCCCCAGGAGATGCGGGTGGATGGAGGCGCGGCCCCAGCTTCGGGTCAGCAGCCCCGGATGGAGGTGGGCGAGCAGGGGCCCAGAGCTAAACGAGCCGCCCCGGAGGAGGGCGACACCGTGGAGGACGCCCTCGGATTCGTGACTCGGCTCATGGACGGAGGCGGCGACGACGGCGAGGTCGAGCGCGCCATCGGCGCCTTGGTCGAGGTCCAGAGGGGGCGCGTGTTCATGGAGATCCGCGAGTCTGGAGACGAATGCCCAGTGCCAGTAGAGAAGCAGTACGAGTGGGACGTCGACGACTGCGCTGGCCCCGAGGACCTGTGCGACCGGGGCGATCTCTCGGGCAAGGTGTTGCCCGAGGATTTGGCCCAGGAGGCGAGGATGGAGGAGATCGCATTCATCGACGAGATCGGCCTCTTGGAGGTGGTGCCCAGACCAGCCGGCCATGAAGTGATTGGCGCGCGATGGGTCGACGTGGACAAGGGGGGCGAGGTCGACCACCAGTTTCGGAGTGGGCTCGTCGCGAAGGAGATTCGCAACGGTTCAGTTGAGCAGTATTTTGCTGCAGTGCCCCGCTGGCATCGTTGAAGATGCTCCTCAGCATCGCGGTCGCGTCCGTTCTGCCTCGGAAAGAGGTGGTGTATGCCAAGATGCGGCAGTGCGCGCTGCAGTTCTTGGACGTGAAGAAGGCGTACTTCTGGGCCATGGCCGAGCGGTTGCAGTTTGTGGAGCTCCCTGAAGGCCACCGGCGGGCGCGCGGAATCACAGGGGACATGATGGGCAAGCTATTTCGTTCCATGTATGGGATGCGAGGTGCCGCGTCCCTGTGGGAGAAGCTGGTGGCTGCCAAGATGAAGGCTTTAGGCTATCGCCAGGGCCGGGGCTCCCCGCGCGTCTTCTGGCGCTCGGTTAGGGGCATCAGGACGACGCTCCGCGGTGACATTTCGTGAGCCTGGCAGCCGGGATCGACGTCGACTGGCTGTTTAAGGAGCTGAGCAAGGAGTGGGCCGTGAAGGTGGAGGGCATCTTCGGTCCGCCCGGCGAGCCGGAGACGGTGCAGAGCATTCGTTTTTTTTTCACCGTCTCATGACATGGGCGACGGGGGGCATCGAGTGGGAGTGTGACCCACGACACATCGACATTGTGGTTCGCGAGTTGGGGTTGCTTCAGGAGGAGTAAACACCAAACTCACCACGCCTGCCTGGGGTCCGTGAGCGGCCCGGCGCCGTGGAGGAGGAGGACGTCGCCGTCCCGGAGCAGGGGCGTGCTTGGCACCGGTCTGCGTGCATGAGATTGGCTTGCGTCGCGCAGGGCCGCCCTGACCTAGGTGTAGCTGTCCGCGAGATGGCCGGGGGCATGCAGGCCCCGTGCGAGCGCCACGTGGCGCTACTAAATCATGCTGCGCGCTATCTTCGAGGCACCTCTAGGCTTGTTCACTACTTCAAGAACCAAGAAGCGGCCGCATGGTTAGATGGCTGGTGTGATTCAGACCGCGCAGGCTGCATCCGGACACGGAAGAGCACGTCGGGGGGCGCGACCATGGCCGGTCCGTTTTGCTTGCATCATTGGTGCCGTAGCCAATCCGTCATAGCGCTCGGTAGTGGCGAAGCCGAGTACTACAGCCTATAGTTACGTTCATGAGCCAGTTGTGCAGCGTGAGATCGTTAGCTTTAGATTGGAATATTGTGTATAAGCTCGCTGTGAACGTGGCGCGACCGCTGCCGTGGGCGTAGTTTCGTCACGCGGGCTTGGTAAGACTAAGCACATCGACGCTGCGTTGCTCTGTGCGCAGGAAGCGATGGACCGTTTCAAGGTGTCTCTTAGGAAGAAGCACGCCGATGACATGATAGTAAGTTCTTGAATCGTGACAGAGTTCAGTGGTTCAGCGCACTGATGGGCTTCGCGCCTCGAGTGGGTCAGCGCCCTCTGGCCCTGGGAGCGTGAGATCTACTTCGAATGGCTTGGGCCTGGCTCGGCTCTGTCTCGGGAGCGCGCCCGGCGCTCGTCTGGGGCACGCCCCCTCGGGGGGCGTGAACAGAAATGGGCCTCCCAAGAGCCCAATGCAGATGTAGATCGTAGATCGTGGTAGGGGGGCGCGATTTGTCTGCCCTATTTGCTTCGAGCGTGTTGCATCGCACGGCGCGCGTATTCTGTAGCCATTGAAGTGGTCCAACAAGATTATTCGGGCTATCCGACCACATGCAGTATTTCATTTTTGCACGGTGCTGTTTTTGGCCCGGGAGCGCCAGATGGGCGACGGCAGCCTGATTTGTCGGCCTCGGGCGAGTGCGCCGGTCCCCTGACCGAGGAGCGCGGCGGAGAGATACCCGATCCTGGAGTCATCCCAGGGTTCATTCTTCGACTAGGCGTAAGAGTGACTTTTCGCCAAAGTGACCTTTGGTGCGGGCATAGATGGGCCCCCTGATGGCCGAAAACGAAGCAGGAGCAGCGGCTTGCGCGCCGAGGTGTGGCCCCCCCGCGGCCCACAAGAAACCGCGCACTAAAGGTCACTTTTACCCAGGTTCACTCTTGCGTGTAGCCGAATTCTGGCTGCTTCTGGGGTTGTGAAGCCTCGTGCGGTTCGGCCTGGATCGACTTGCGATGGTCCTGTGGCCCGAAAGGGCCTCCAGGTGCCGGAAATGGCGAATGAGCTCCGAGACGACGGCGACGTTGACGTCTTTATGAGCGTCGTCGCCGTCGATGTCGACACCCCCCTCCTCTTCTTCACCTCCTCCCCGTCTTTCATCTCCTCCACATCCCCTCTGCAATCCCCTTCACCTCCCCGCCCCCCGCCCCCTGCCCCAATGTCGTCGTCGTCGTCGTCGTCGTCGTCGTCGTTCTTTGAACCCCCCCCCCCTCTGTCCTGCGGTGCCTCTGCCCAGGGCGCAGTCTCGGCGTGCGGAGGGGAAAGAAAAACCAGCGCGGGCTGGCCGAACTCGACGCCGCGCGCGTGCGGAATCGCCACGCGCACGGCTCGGCCGCCGGCCGCGAGGGAGTGTGTGTGTGTGTGCTTGTGTGTGTGTGTGTGTGTGAAGTCCGCTGATATTCCCATTATATCATCGCGTCTCGCATCGGTGTATCGGCCCAGGTATTGGCATTAACGCTGACAGTGCACTGCCCTCTGTGCAGTGCCCTGGAAAAAGGAGTCTTCCTCCTTGCCTCTACCTGCGGACCCCGTATAGGAACGGCCCCTTCGGCCGTCTCCCTATACACAGAGGGGGCGAGTGCCCCCCCCCTCTGTGGCGCCGGCAAAGCCCGTCAAAGCCCGTCGTCGTCGTCGCCGCCGTTGTCGTCGTCGTCGTCGTCGTCGTCGTCGTCGCCTTCGTCGTCGCCGTCGTCGTCGTCGTCGTCGTCGTCGTCGTCGTCGTCGTCGTCGTCGTCGTCGCTGTCGTCGTTGCCGCCGTCGTTGTCTTCGCCATCTGCGTCGGCGGCGGCGGCGTCCGAGCCGTCCCGAGGCTGGCCTCGCGACCGCGGGGAGCCGCGAGGCGCTCGTGGCGCGGCTGGCCGAGCACCTCGTGGCCAAGAGGGGTGGTTCCAGGGGCGGGGGCGGGTCCATTCCGATCGGGGCTTCAGAGACGAGGCTCGCGTTGCGGAAAAAACGCGACGGGAGTTTTGGTCGCTATTTTCGGCTTCGGGGGCCTGATCGAGCCTCGGGACCGTCAAAAAACGACGCAGGATGTAAAACCGGTCCCAGGGAAGGGGTCGAGATTTCTGGGGGTCGGGCAGCGCCCAGCGATCGGATTTCAAGGGACAGGGGGGGAAGTCAATTTTGTTCGTCGGCGGCGACAGCGAGGGAAGGGTAGCGGTATGGGGTGGTCACACTTTTCCCTCCTCCGAGCTTCTTGTCCTCGCTCGCACGGGGGAAGCGGGTCCTGAGGGAACGGGTCCTGGACCCCGGTGCTCTCCCCCAGGGCGAGCTCTTCATCCCGAGCCGTTTTCTGATAGTCCTGGGGCCCGTGGCGGGCCCCGAGAGCCCCGAGACCGGCGAAAAACCTCAGGACCCGTTTCCTTCAGGACTCTTTCCCCCCACGGCGACTTCGAGGAAGAGAAAGATCGGCGGCGAGTCCGTGGGATGTGGGAAGGGGCGGACCTTTCTCAAACGGCTCGTAAACCCGCTGGCCCAGAAGTTTTCTAAAGTTTCCCGGGCACAAACAACTTCTCAGAAGGCGCGAGGGTTTCTGAGAAGGCCCGCCGCCTTCTCTTCTCCTTCTCAGTTGCCCCCCTCGCTCGCCGCCAAATCCAAAGGCTGCCGCCTCTGCCGCCGACCCCAAAGAAGGCATTGATTCATGGGCAATCTGCTGCTTCTGTTTTCGAGCTCGTCTCAGGTTCGTCGCATCGTTACCGGTATAGTAGCAGTGGTAGCAGCAGTATTGTAGCTGTAGTTGTAGAAGTAGTAGTCGTAGTATCATCAGTAGTAGTTGCAGGAGTAGTAGTAGGATGGGGGCCGGGTCCTTCGGGGCCTCGGAGAAGAGTGAAATCGGACTGGGTTCCCTGGGGAGCGTTCGACACCAAGGCAAACGCCACAACATTCCCAAGGAATCGCCTTCCACGTTTCCGTGCGCCGAGTTGTCGTAAATGGTTCACGCGAGTGTCCGCGGTGCTGGAGCATGGTCGGCCCACCCCGCCGCCGTATCTGTCACCACCCACCAAACCACCCCAACCCAACCCGAAGGCTCAAATTTACCCTCGATTTCCAGTGGGGGGGGGGGTCGGGAAACATAGAGAAAAACACATGTGGAACCATTACCCCCCCACACCCGAAATTCGGGTCTTCGGGTTGGGCTGGGGTGATCTGGTAGGTAGTCAATCAGGCGTTCTGCTCAGGGTCATCCGTGAAGTTTGTCAGGGCTATGTTCTGCACCACTTCCTCAGGACCGTTTGATGAGACTTGTCGGCGGGCTTCTTGGAAACAGTGTGCACGGAGGTGTTTGCGTGCCTGTGGATTTGTTTTTGCGGAGTTGGGCGCCCTGGCGCGGACGGCCGAACGACCCCTGCAGCGGGACACCCTGGCCACGGTCGCCGCCGCAAAAACTGCGCGTTCAAGGCTGGCGCCGCGCAAAGGATGCCCTCTGGGAGCCCGTTTTCGGGGCGTCAAGGAGGCCATTCGGCGCCCTCAGGGGGGGCTTTTGGGGGTCTACTGAGAGCATTTTGGGGCGGAGAGCTGGAATTGTCGGTTCGGGCTTCCGCTGTTGGGCTCTTTTCTGGGTTATGTTGGGTTTTCTTGGGCCGTCTTGGGCGCCCGTTGGTTTGTCGTGGGGCTTGTTTCTGTGGTGCAGTTGCTTTCTGGGGGGCATTATGGAATGGCTTTGGGGCCTTTGGGCCGGCGTTGGGCTGTCAGGAGGTCGCTGCTGTCGTTGCCGTGGATGTGTCAGGCCACGGGTCCGACGACTCCAACGACGGCCATGCTACATTCGGCGACGCCGTGGCACCATTCAATTGGGGGGGGGTGGGGGGGGCGATTCTCACGCGCCTGGAGACTTCGAGGGGTCGGCGGATCACGGCATTTCTACATGTTCCTGTGGCTGATAGGCTTGAGGAGGAGTGGGCAGGGAAAGGGGGCGACGGAAACGACGATTGACCGAGAGGATGAGTAGATGACGGAGACGACGGCTGGAACGGGTGCGCCCCTCGCGCACGCCGATAGGGTTGGCTGATTTTCCCAACCATCCTGTGGTGTTGGGTCCTCGTTTTGAAGAGACGTCGCCCCGCGTTCCCCTCTCCTCTCCTTTCCTCCTTCTCCTCCTCCTCCTCCTCCTCCCCCTTCCTCTCTCCTCCCGTCATCATCATCATCATCGTCATCATCATCACCATCACCGTGATCATCATCATCATCATCGTCACCATCATCATCACCAGCAACATCATCACCCATGTCGGCACACCCCTCACACGCTTCGTGGCCCCATAGGGAACTCCACCGAAGGCCCCAGTGCCACCGCCCGCATGCATCCCCCACACCCATGTCGGCACATCCCTTACACTTTTCGTGGCTCCATAGGGAACTCCACCGAAGGCCCCAGTTCAACCGCCCGCATGCGCCCCCCCCCCCCCACACACACACAGACATTTCGGCACACCCCTCACACGTTTCATGGCCCCGTAGGGAGCTCCACCGAAGGCCCCAGTGCCACCGCCCGCATGCGTCCCCCACACCCATTTCGGCACACCCCTCACACGTTTCGTGGCCCCATACGGAGTTCCATCGAAGGCTCCATTGCCACCGCCCGCATGCGCCCCCCCCCCCCCCCCCCCCACCCACACACACATTTCGGCACACCCTTCACACGCTTCGTGGCCCCATAAGGAACTCCACCGAAGGCCCCAGTGCCACCGCCCGCATACGTCCCCCACGCACATTTCGGCACACCCCTCACACGTTTCGTGGCCCCATAGGGAACCCCACCGAAGTCTTCAGTGCCACCGCCCGCGTGCGTCCCCCACGCCCATGTCCGCACACCCTTCACACGTTTCTTGGCCTCACAGGGAACTCCACCGAAGGCCCCAGTGCCACCGCCCGCATGCGTCCCCCACACACATTTCGGCACACCCCTCACACGTTTCGTGGCCTCACAGGGAGCTCCACCGAAGGCCCCAGTGCCACCGCCCGCATGCGTCCCCCACACCCATTTCGGCACACCCCTCACACGTTTCCTGGCCCCACATGGAGCTCCACCGAAGGCCCCAGTGCCAGCGCCCGCATGCGTCCCCCCCCACACACACATTTCGGCGGACCCCTCACACGCTTCGTGGCCCCATAGGGAGCTCCACCGAAGGCGTCAGTGCCACTGCCCGCATGCGCCGCCCACACGAATTTCGGCACACCCCTCGCACGTTTCGTGGCCCCATAGGGAATTCCACCGAAGGCGCCAATGGCACCGCCACCATGCGTCCGACACAGTCAAGGTTTCAGGAGCAGCTCCAGACCTCTGGGGAAAAGGGGGAGGCGGAGGAGGAGGAGGAGGAAAAGGCCCCGTTCCCCCCCGTTTGTGTGTAGTGGGGCGCGGAAGAGCGGGAGCACGACGAGGTCGCTGGAGCTTTCGGCCAGATGCCCATCGTGATCCATCCGGGGGACTTTTCGTGCAGCTGAAGCCGACGGGAGGCAAAGTGTCCTTCATCTCCAGCTTCCAGGAACTAGCGGCGGCGGGCACCAACCTCGCTCCAGAGTGCCAGGCCGTGATGAAGCTCTTCTGCAACACGCCGCTGTGCTTCGAGCTCCAGGCGTCCAGCCGCTTCAAGGACCCGAAGCTCAGGGATCTCATGGCCTTCTTGCGCAAACCAGGGAGGCAGGTCCCTCCGGCCATCCGGGCCACGCGGAACGCCATGCAGCTGAAACCCGATGATCGTCGGCTCTGGGAGGAGAGGGTCCCGGACGGCCACATGATCGGGTCCTATTGGGACACCGTGGCGCGGTGGATGAACATGCGTGCCCAGCGGGACGCGGGCGTCCTGAAGAAGCCCCTCTTCCTCGTGCAGGCCGCCGACAGGTTCTTTCCCGACGATTGACGTCAAGGGCGCCGCCAAGATGATGAACTGTGCCAACCCGAAGAACACCGGTGGCATGTGCGGACTTTCCCCGGTGCACGTGGGCATGCGGATCCGGCTCCTGGAGGCGCTCGATCTCAAGAACGGCCTCGTCAAGGATGCCGAGGGGCAGATCGTGCACGTCGTCGCGGGCCCATCGGGGTCGGGGCGACGTCCAGAATGCCGAGAGAGACGGGGATAACAGGATCTATCTGGGGCGCTTGCCGCTAGGGTTCTGGGTGCGCATGGAGAAGTGCGCGAGCGCGCCCGTCGTGGACGACCTGAAGCGCCACGACGACAGCCTCGCGGGGGACCTCGCGGGCCCGCTGGTGTTCATCGAGCCCCGCGCGTCGGGGCCGTTCACCTTCCGCGCCTCCAAGGTCACCCGGGCGGGCTTCCCGTTCTCGCGCGGCAGGGCTATCACCGCGGTGGCGTTCCAGGGGCGCGCCGTGCGAGGGGGCGACGGGGCGAGGGGGCGGCGCCCCTGGGCGGTCTGCAGCCGAGACTACTGGGCGCGAGCGGTCTGCAGCCGGGCCATCTCTGGGCCCCGTGGACTCGCCCTGGGCCGTCGGCTGTCTGGCGCGCTGCCCCCTCGGCCGACGTCGCCCAGGCGTGGTCCTGGACTGCGGCCGCCACGAGGTCGAGAACGGCAGGAAGGGGGGCGACGACTGGTGCTGGAGCTCTATGTGCTGCTCTCGCGCGCCGCGCGCCACGTGGGCCTCCTGCTCGCGCGGGCGCCGCGTGTCGAGTCCTTCCCGGCAAGGCCGCTGGAGGGCTTGCGGGGGCAGCTTGGGCCGCTTGCGGCGCGCGCGAAGCGGCGCAGGAGGGGGGCGACGGCGCTCCCCAGGGAGCTCGGCTTCGCCGAGTTTATCCGCGAGGCCTGACCTGAGGAGCGCCCCCCCGAGCCGCGCCTTCTCTCGACTGCCCGCCTAATTGTTTGGCCTCGCGCCGCGGGCGACCCGCGCGCGTCGCTGGGGCCCGCCCGGGGCGACCGGCGCGCGGCGCGGGAACTCCGTGCTGCGTTCTTCCCTGCGCCTCGCTCGCCCGTCGTCGCTTTGCCCAGCGGCCAGAGCCTTGCCCGCTATCAGCCGGCCAGCTAGCTAGCTAGCTCTCTTTGCTCCGCGCAGCGGACGACCCGCGCGCGTCGCTGGGACCCTTCCGGGGCGACCGGCGCGCGTCGCGGGGGCTCCGCGCCGCGCTGCGCCCGCAGATTTGGACTTTGGGGGAAGGGGGGGAAGCGGGCGCGATCCTCGTGAGGGGCGCGCCGACATGGGCGTCGCGGCGCGCGGGCGCTGCCGCCAAGGTTCCCGCGGAATCGTTCTGCGGCGGCCACGCCTAGTGTCGCGAGTGCACAGACGAGCGTGCCCGAACCATTCACATTCATATGCATTTACACGAGGCGTAGCCATGATCGCTTTCGTGCGAATATATTCGCTCGCGCGCAGACTCATTCACACTTGGGCTCACTCGCGTTCAGATTCGCCCGCGCTCTCTCTCGCAATTCGACCGATCGTTTTCCTCCGTGTTGTGTGCCCCGCCTAGATCGGGTCGCCCTTCATGCGGTTCGTGGGCACCGCTGAAGAAGATATTCGCAATTGCGGTAGTCACAACTGCATCTGGTTCGGCCCTTCGCCAGGATATGTTTTGGGGGTCCGCGTGGATTTCTCTCGGATCGGCGATGGGCCCCCTCTGGCGGGCTTTGGAAGGTTCTTGTTGTAAATATGGCTCCCCGGGCTCAGCGGCCTGATCTTTTCGATGCGTGGACCTCTCGACCCCTTCCCGGGGGGAGTTTCTGTGCATCCTGGATTGTTTGGTAGCGATCCCAGAGCCCGAATCGCCCCCCCTAAGGACGCCGACTTCGAACAACGACGTCGGCATTACATGCGTCATGTCATCGGGGTTTGGTTGTCCGCTCAAGGTCTCTTGACTCCGTGAAAGAAGTCACTCATCCTGTTCGTCCTGCTGTTTTGGCTTTCCTCTTTATTCTCTTGTTGCTCAGTCCTCCCCTTCAATTTCCCCCTTCTCCTCTAGTCCTCCTGTTCATCTTCCTCCTGCTCTTCCTCTTTGTAGGGGGGGCCGGTAGGTTTCAGGCCAGAAATCGTCGGGTGAGTGGCCCCAAGAACCGGCTCCGGAGGCTTAGGGCTGCCGGGGCGGGGGGGGGGGGTCGGTGGGTGTCAGGCCAGAAATTGTCGGGTGGGTGGTCCCAAAAACCGAGTTCCAAAGGCCTGTGGGTGCCAGGGAACTGTGGGGGGTGTCGGTAGGTTTCAGGCTAGAAATTGTTGACGCTTCGCGTATCCCCACCAGCCCATCCAGAAACGATGCCCAGGGGAGTTGAGGTGATCAGGGAAGTCGGGGAGCATGCAGAATAACAAAGGGCGGGGGAAGCTGTCACGTAACCCAAGAGGGGGGGGATGGAGAAGGAATCCTCGTCGGAGGGGGAGGAAGAGGAGGAGGAGGAGGAGGAGGAGGAGGAGGAGGAGGAGGAGGAGGAGGAGGAGGAGGAGGAGAGAGGGAGGAGGAGGAGGAGGAGGAGGAGGAGAGGGAGGAGGAGGAGGAGGAGAGGAGGAGGAGGAGGAGGAGGAGGAGAATGAGGAGGAGGATGTGGAGTAGGGGGAGGACGAGGAGGACGAGAAGGAGGAGAAGGAGCAGAGGGAGGAGAAGGAGGAGAAGGAGGAGAAGGAGGAGGAGGAAGAGGGGGATGAGAAATTGAAGAGAGGACGGCGAACCGAAGAGCCAGAAGCGTCTTAAATGCATTTCGGAGATCTTCTTGAGGCTTCTTGGGGGTCTCTTGGGAGCCTCTTGGAGGCCTCTTGGGCGCCTCTTAGGGCCGTCTGGGCGCCTCTTGGGGCGCTCTTGGGGCGCTCTTGGGGGCTGCAGGGGCGCTCTTGGGGCCATCTTGGAGGAGATCGATCAACGAAGGGGGGTTCCCTAATTTTCCTCCCCCCTCAGGAGCTCCAAACATTGCCTCTTGGGGCGCTCTTGGAGCGCTCTTGGAGCGCTCTTGGGCGCTCTTGAGGCCGTCTTGGGGCTCTCTTGGGCCTCTTGTGGGGCCCTCTTGGGCCATCTTGGAGCCATCTTGAGGCCTTGGATGGCCATAGGAAGCGAAACGGGGAGAAAGCAAAACACATTGATTTTCCTAAGGTTTTGGAACGATTTTGGCCTCTTCGGGGCCTCCTTGGGGAGCTCTTTGGCCACTTGGAGCCGTCTTGGGGCCGTCTTTGGGCCTCTTGGAACCATCTTAGGAGCCATCTCGAGCGATCTTGCGCTATCTTGAGCCATCTTGGAGCTCATCTTGGGCTCTCTGACGCGCTCTTGAAGCCATCTTGGGGCCGAAAGAGCCGTCCGACCGCTCGGGGAACCCTCCGTCCAGGTCCAGGGGAGGGGGTAGGGGGAGGGGTAAACCCCTCCCCAAGGGGGAAGAGTGAGGGGTGGAAGAGGATCTGTTCTAGACCACCTGCGCCCAGAGGGCTGGTGGGATTGTCGGGTGGGTGGTCCCAAGAGCCGAGTTCCACAGGCCTGGGGGGGCCAGGGCGCGGTGGCGGGTGCCAGTAGGTTTGAGACCAAAAATTGTCGGGTGGGGGGTCCCAAGAGCCGAGTTCCAGATGCCTGCGGGTGCAGGCCAGAAATTGTCGGGTGGGGGTCCCAAGAACCGAGTTCCAGAGGCCTGCGGGTGCCGTGGCGCGGTGGGGGGTGACAGTAGGTTGGAGGCCAGAACTTGTCGTGTGTGTGGTCCCAAGAACCGAGTTCCAGATGCCGGGGGGTGCCCGGGCGCGGTGGGGGACGTCGGTACGTTTGAGGCCAGAAATTATCGGATGGGGAGTCCCAAGAACGGGGTTCCAGAGGCCTGGGGGGGCCAGGGCGCGGTGGGGGTTGTCGGTGGGGAGGCGAGAAGTTGTCGGGTGGGGGGTCCGAAGAACTGGGTTCCAGAGGCCTGGGGGTGCAGGTGCGCGGGGGGGGGTGTCGGTCGGTTTGAGGCCAGAAGTTGTCGGGTGGGGGGCACCCAGAAACCTAATTCCAGATGCCTGGGGGTGCCGGGGCGCGGTGGGGGGGTGTCCAGCCCAGTAGCCCATGAATCTTATGATAATAATGTGTTAGTTTCTAGATGGAAGCATTAACAATACACACACAATCGCATATACTTAGTGCATCGACTAATCATACTACATATCAGCTTATGTTTGCGAATAGTTAACTATAACCACAGCTATCACATACTTCTCTTGTCACCAACATAAGCATGCCGTAATTATGGGTAAATCACACATACACATAATCAATCGTATAATATTCACATCATAGCACCATCACCATCAGCACCAGCATCACCGCCACTATCGCCATGGCCATCGCCATCACAATCGTCGTCGTTGACGTCGACGTTGCCGCCATTCTAGCCCGAAGCATTTTGTTTTTCTGTATGGGCGCCGTTGTTTTGTTTCAACGGTTTTTGTTCGCGATGGAGCAGAACAATACGTTCGGCAATGTTGAAACTAGATCTACCGAGCACAATGCGGCGGAGGGACACAACAGTCGGAGGTGAGGACTTCGCCAACCACCGCCAGATCGAGAGGCTGGGCGCACACGCAGCATTCTATTGTCGCTCGTGGGCGACCCACAAGCTGCGCCTTTTGCCCTACCCTGGGTGGCTGCAGCACTGCCCTGGGGCACTTTTGCCCTGTGTAGCTGCATCATCTTCGGTGGTTTCGGCAGGGGAACCTTCTGCGGATACCTCAGGAGTTCATTCGTGGAAGAAGAACAATAAAACGAATTTTCCAATAACGTGGAGTGGTTCACATGGGCGCCCACCATTCTTACCACATAGCATCATCATCACTCCCATGGTCATCATCATCATCATCATCATCATCATCATCATCACCATCATCATCATCATTACCACCACCACCATCGTCATCAGCACCGTCATCATTATCATCGTCATTCTCATCGTTGTCACCATCGTCATCATCATCGTCGTCACCATCATCATCATCATCATCATCATCATCATCATCATCATCATCATCATCATCATCATCATCATATTCGTCGCCGTTGGCCATTTTGGCTTGCAGAAAGGCGCCGCGCGCGCTTCTTTTTTTCTCTCTTCACATGGACTCGTGGCCGCCCCCCCGAGATGTCGGGCAAAACGCGTCGCGAAAGGCCGACGGGGTCTCAGTTGGGCCCGGGGACGTCAGCAGACCGATGGGGCGACTTCGCGAGGTTGAGAAATCCAGGTTTCGTTTGGGATGGGTCGGGGCATTGCGCCACCAAGGCGCAGTCGCTAGATGAAGACACGATGGTGCATATCGAGGGCCTCTTGCCGATCCTGGTCGAGCGCGCACCGTCGGGCTTGCCTACTCACAAGTCTTTGGTGCAAACCTTCGAGGAGCTCCGCGCTCGGCGTGGAGTTTTGGGTTGCGACCCACGCTTCGTGGTTCGAAGCGCCGCGCTGGCCGCCGAGAGCTGGCGCGCAATGGCGAAGCGCATCTGCGACGCGGCGCCGATCGAGGAAATGTTCAAGAAGAGTTCCCTCCAGGTTTGGTGGAGACGATTCGCCTGCCATCTGAACAATCCGCAGGGTCGCGCGAGACGCTGGGGCCGCCAGCAGAGGATGCTGGATATACAAGGCGCGCTGAGCCATCAAGCGGGAACCATGGTGTAAGGAGTGCTGCCGGCATCAGCGCGTCGGCTGTCGAGGAGCTCTTCAACGCGAACGAGGTTGGAGACGGGATCGGCATCGAGACCGATACTGAACAAGAGAGTGACGTAGAGGTATGTGGCGTATGCTGCAAGTACTCCGAGTGCGCCAGGGTGACCACTCAAGATGGTGATTCGGAGGAGCGCGTGGGGATCCGTCTGCAGCCATCGGCGGCCAGAGACGCGACGCCAAAGCAGTGCTGCAGGCCGAGGGCGGCACCGAGAAGGGCAAATTTTCAGGTTGGCGCCAAGGAAAAGGGTGGCGCCAAGGAGGGCAAGAGTGGCGGTGAAAAGGGCGAAGGTTGCATCAAGAAGGGCAAGGGCGGCGAATAGAGTTGCAAGGTTAGCATCAAGGTGAAACTGCGACCCGAAAGCGCGCCCGCGTCGGCGGGAAACGCCGCGTGAGCTGCCCACGAGCACCGCTGACAGCACGAAAGGGGCCTCCGTCGCCGCGCGCCGCTCGGCCCGGGGGGAGCGGTCAGGGCCCGGCCGCGCGAAGCTCCTGCCCACGGTGGTCCACCACCGCGTCGGCGGAGGGGCATGGACTGACGGGCCAGGTTCCCGCCGCCACTACCACATGTAGGAGAGGCTGGAGAGGCCGGGGAGGTCCTCCTCCTCCTGCTCCTCCTGCTCCTCCTCTTCCTCCTCCTTCCTCTCCTACCTGTGGTAGTGGTGGTCGACGATCGGCCCATCAGGGGCAGCAGCCGCCGCCGCACGCCCCACCTCCGCCACCTTGAAGGCCGCGTCGAGGATCGCGTCGTCGTCGTCGTCGTCGTCGTCGTCGTCGTCTTCGCAGAGGAGGGGCGGCGGGCTTCGAGGGCGAGCGGCGGTAGTCTCCCAAGACTCGGGCGCGCGCGCCGGTGCTGCAGCGGCGGTGGTGCTGCCCGACTCGACGCAGTGGCCGACGTCCTGGAGCCGGGGTCGGACTGGACGCAGTGCGCAGCATAGAACGTGCAGCAGCGAGTGGCAAGCACGCAAGAGCAGCACGAAGATGAGCCTAAAGAGAGGCTCCAACCACTACTCAGATCCGCCGACCACCCTGTCGGCGTGTGGAAGACGCTGTTCTGTTTGACTTGTCGTCGTCATCGTCGTCGTCGTTGTCGTCGTCGTCGCTTTCATCGTTTTCGTTGTCGTCGTCGTCCTCGTCAGTTGGGCGCGTGTCGCCGCGTTCCTCCAGCCCGCCGCGCCGCGCCGCGCCCGCCCATCCTTCGCCAAGGGCAGTCATCCTCCTCTTGTGGGCCCTGCGGGGGCTTGGGCGTCGGCGCTCGGCGGTTTTGCCTCAGCAGGCGGTTGGGCACCGCGCGCTCCATGCCCCTGCACCTCCGGGGGGGCTCCGTGGCAAGCTGCCAGCCCCAGCGCCCGAGAGGTCCGCGTTGGTGTCCTCGTAGCCACCACGGGGCTGGGTCGGCACGACCAGCACGACCCTCTTCTTCACCACGGGCGTCATCACCTGGATCTGCCAGTGCCCGACCGACCGCGCGCGCTGCCAGCCCGAGACAGCTCCTGGCCCGTGTGCCGGGCGATCTGGTCGAACGCGCAGGGGATGTGCAGCACTGCGCGCCCCTCCGCGCGCGCGTGCTGCGCTCGGCGTTCGGCCGCTGACCATTTCGGCCGCCCAGGGCGGCGCCACGGCGCCCGATCCGTCCCGCCGCCAGTAGGGCGATGCGGGCGGGTGCTGGGCGGCTCGGGCGTGGGCCAATGGTAGAGGCTCGGGCTGCAAGTTTGAACAACTTGGGCCGAAGTGGCACTGGTGAAGGGCGAGGAGGAGGGCGGAGGATGAGGAAGACGAGGAGGCGGAGGAGGAGGAGGATGCTGATGCTGATGCTGATGCTGATTATGATGCTGCTGATGATATCGCTGATGATGGTGCTGATGCTGATGCTGATGCTGATTCTGATGCTGCTGCCGATGATGGTGATTCTGCTGATGATGCTGATGATGCTACTGATGATGATTATGATTACTGTTACGTTGCTACTGATGATGACGAAGCTGATGATGACTCTGATGCGTTGATGATGATGATTTTGATGCTGATGCTAATGCTGATGATGACGATGCTGATGACGACGATGACGACAACGACGGTTATGATGATGCCGATGAGGATGATGCTGCTGTTGCTGCTGATGGTTATGATTCTGCCGATGCTGTTGCTGCTGATGATGATGATGCTGTTGTTGATGCTGATGTGGCGTCTGCTGCTTATGCTGATGCCGCTGCTGATGATGATGACGTTGATGACGATTGCTATTATGCTGATACTGATGATGCTGATGCTGATTATGTTGATGATGATGATAATGAAGACTATGATGATGGTGATGGCGATGATGCTAATTATGCTGCTGCTGATGATGATGATGATTCTGATGACAATAGGTGATGATAATGATGCTGATCCTTGCGATGAGTATGCTGATGCTGATGACGACGACAACATCGACGACGACGATGATTATGATGATGCTGATGAATGATGATGATAACGATGCTGACAATGCTGACGATGATGATGCTGCTGATGATGATGATGGTGCTGATGCTATTGCTGACGATAAGGCTGAAGGTGATGATGACGATGACGATGGCGATGACGATGACGATGATGCTGATGCTGCTGATGATGACGATGATGCTGCTGATGATGATGATGATGATGATGATGCTGACGATGCCGATGATGCTGATGATGACACTGATGATGTTTATACTGATGCTGATGCTGATGCTGATGATGCTGCTGATGGTGATGATGATGCTAATACTGATGATGCTGATGATGATGATGCTGATGATGATGCTGATGCTGATGATGCTGATGATGGTGATGATGACGATGCTGATGCTGATGCTGGTGCTGATGCTGATGCTGATGCTGATGCTGCTAGTCATGATGCTGCTGCTGCTGATGCCGATGAGGATGAGGATGAGGGTGAGGATGCGGATGAGGATGGCGATGATGAGGAGGTGGAGGAGGTGGAGGAGGAGGAGGAGGAGGAGGACGAGGAGAGGTTTAGCAGGTGTCAAAGAAGATGAGGACAAGGAGGCGAAGAGAAACAATAGGGGGAAGGGGGAGGGATGACAAGGAGAAGTATGAGGGGATGACGGGGCTGATGTGGAAGGACACAGAGGATGCAACTGACGAGATATGCTACGATGATGGCGATCTTGGCGACGGCGACGATGATAATGCTGAGGATCATGATGTTGGTGATGGTTGTTGTGATGGTGGTTGTGATGATGCAGCTGCTGATGCTGAGTCCGATGCCGCTGACGGTGATGATGGCGTCCAAGACCAACGGGAGGACGAAAACTGGAGATGCCTCTAGCCCTGCCCGATGCCCTCGTCTGCCGAAACTACCGACCACACTCACTCGCCCGGCAAAGGGGAGGCCGCGGCCACAGCAGCACTGGCCTCCGCATCCGCGCCTCCTCGCACGCCTCGCTGCTCGTTCACTGTCCCCTCCCCCGTCCTCAGCGACCGAACGGCGGCGATTGCGGAGGCACGTTCCTCCTGGAGCCCGGCGGCGGTCGTGGCTCGCCCGAGTTCGGCCCGAGTCGAGCTGGCACTAGGAGGAGAAGGAGGGGGTGGAGGAGAAGGACGAGGAAGAGGAGGAGGGAGATGAGCAGAAGCAGGACGATATTGAGAATGTGCACGGCGCGAACGTGAGAGCTCCATGTTGAAAACGACTCTCTTCATATTTGTAGTTGTTGCAAGCTTTTTAAGACGAATGTGGGCGGCGCTACGGAAAGAGCTTCTTTTTGGAAACGACCCCCCGTTCATCCGTGCAATTTTTGCAAGTTTTCGAAATGAGCGTGCGCAGAGCTAACGCGAATGCTCAATTTTCAACGACCCCACTCCATCCTCGTAGCTGTTGCGAATTTCAATTTTCAGGGTCGTACATGGTGAGGAAGTCTCAGGCGAAGCGCCCGACCCGCCCTACCGACACGTCTGGGGGTGCGACAGAGAGGAATTATGTTTATGAGGAGAGGCGAAGCTAGGGCCTTTGTGGTTCTGGACACACACTGCCCGCAGCTGTCTGGAGGCGCCTGCCGGAGGAGGAAGACGTGGAGAGCAGTCTCGCAACTCGCCTTATGTGCACATTGGCCCACGCAATTCGCTGACTCGCAGCTCGGATCAGTGGAGAAGGAGGAGGAGGAGGAGCTCGGGGGCGTCGAAGAGAGGCTTGAGGACTCAGGGGATAGGGGGATGAGGAGGAGGATGAGGAGGAGGATGAGGATGAGGAGCAGGAGGAGGAGGATGAGAAGGAGGAGGAGGAGGACGAGGAAGAGGGGGAGGACGAGGAGGAAGAGTAGGAGAAGGAGGAGGCGGATGAGGAGGAGGATGAGGAGGAGGAGAAGGAGGAGGAGGATGGGACTTAGAAGGAATGCGGGCTCTCTTCAGGTGGCAAGAACAAGAGCATCCCAGTGTGCTTGCCAGAGGAGCACCCCCAGCCATCCCTACACACTCATGTGGCGTTCGTCCTTCTCTCGTGGTGTCTTCCTCTCTCTCTCTCTCCACGCTTTCCTCATCCTCCGCCTCTTCTTCTTTGACCTCACCCGAGTTCCTCCTCTCCTCCTCTCTCGGTCCTCCTCCCTCGCCCCTTCTCTCTCCCCTCCCTCCTCGCTCGTCCCTCTCTCTCTCTCCCACTGGAGACAGTGCTCTTCTTTTTTGAGTGCATCATAGACCCCCCTCTGCGTGAAGCCCCTGCCCCCGCCGCCCCGACCCCGATTCCAAGTGGTTGCGGGCGGTCGTAGTCGTTCGCTCTGGCTCGGCTCGCTTGGGGAGGGTGGCCCCGACGGCCCAGAAGGCCTTCGTGTTGCGACAGTCAGGGCGCAGTGCAAACAAGTCTGCGTTTGGTTGTGACCCAATCGTGTCTTATCGGTGATGAGGCGCATTTTTCATTTCGAGTGCGTGGAGTCTGTTTGGCCCTCCTTCTTCACTTGCGCGTATTTCGCGTTCACCTACGGGTTTAGGTCCCGCTCGAAACTACCTTGATTTCGCACCTGCGCTGATCTGCCGTGCTGTCCTGCAGCAGCGTATAAGCCTCAGGCGAGCAGGCAAAACCAGACAATTGATCGATCGTCGTGCAAGCAGCGTGGTAGCGACATCTCCGTGTGGACCAGCAGTAAGCATGCGCAGTACTCAGTGCCAGCATTTTCTCGGTCTCTGCGGCAGTCGTCTGGCCGTGCCAGGGTAGCGCTGGACCTTCGAGCACCCCCAGGACGGTGTAGCGCGCGACCTTTCTCGCCCCCAGGTTTCCAGAGAGCTGTGACGTGCGTTGCGATCTTCCGCATGCTCGAGATCGTCTCCGCGTTCGGCAAATGTCTTCCTCCGGGCCCATGGGGGCTGTGCCGTGCGACGCTTCTTGACACTGGGGGGCCGCAGAGCCCTGGGCGATCGCAGCGGGGTGGGGGTCGCAGCGCCCAACTGGGATGTGGACGAGAAAGCGAGGATTTCCGTTTTGTCGTCGTCGCCGTCGAGGCCGCCAGGCCCGAGCCAGCGACCCAGACGAGAAGCAATTGTTTTGATTCATCGTCCCAACCCGAGTCGATGGGCAGCAGGGCGGCATCACTCCACCACGCTGATACTGTGTGTGTGTGTGTGTGTGTGTGCGTCGGCCCCCCAGTGGTGACGCGCGCGCTCAGAGATCTCACAGCACCTGCCTGGTGGCGGGTGCCTTTCCCGCCGTGAGTCGTTCGGCATGCTCCCCTGCCGTCTCTGTGCGGCCGCCGCCGCTTCGATGTTGTGCTTCCGCAGCCGTGTGTTGTATCAAGATACTTGGTCGGCACCGCGGGCCGACCTCGCGTTAGCGAGAAGGGAGTGTCTCGGGTCGTCGCCGCGTCGTCGTCCCTCCTCCCGCGCTCACACAATCTGTACATCGCATATTGCCGAATATTACAGGCACGTCGATACGTCCTGTCCAGAACAGTAACGAGACCAACATAGCACCATCTTCACGTCCCACCTTTGCCGCATACCCCGTGCCTCTGGCAAATGATTTCATGGGCCGTACCGCCTGGGCAACGATCTACTACCCACCATATTCTTGTGCTACATGCAGGATGGCCCCAGTTCGGTGCGGTTCGACCCCGTTCGGCGTTCCTCAGGACCGGTTCGGCCAGTCCAGTTCACGCTCAGATTTCCGTCTGGCTCGGTCCAGCCAGTCCATTTCGAGCCAAGTGGCCGGTCCAGTTCGGCCAGTCGGGTTCGGCCGCTCGGATCGGTCTGTCCGGCTCGCGCGGTCCGGTTCGGCCGTGGGCTGCCGGTTTGCTCGGTTCGGTGAGGACGGGGGCCGTCAGCTCGCGGGGCAAGCGTATTTTTTTCTCCTGCCAGGGCCACCATGGCTCGAAAGCGGCATCCGGATACCCCCCCTCCCGAGTGGGTTAAGCGAGAGCCCCCCCCAGGGTGGGTTGAGCAAGCAAGGGGTCATGGCCCCCCAGGGGGGTGCCCCCAGGCACGGCGGGGGGGGCCAGGGGATCTGAAAGGTCCGGGGGGCCCGGGGAATCCGACAGGCAGGCCCGAAAACTCCGGGGGGGCTCGAGGGGTCTCAGGCGTCCCGGGGGCGCCGCCGCTGCTGTCGCCGTCATCGTCGTCGTCGTCGTCGCCGACGCCGCTGGAGGGTTGGTTGCGATGCACCTTCGGGGGGCCTCGCTTGTCCCGATACTTGGTGTCTTTTCCTGTGCCGGACGCGGGCTCGATGCGGACTCGACGCAGATTCGACGTGGATTCGACATGGTTTCAAGACGGATTCGACGTGTTCGACACGGATTCGACACGGATTTGGCGCGGACCGCGGCGCGACGGGACAGACCCCCCGAAAATGCAACATAAGGTTGGCAGGGGGGTCCAGGCCAGGGGGTCATGGTCTGGTCTGGCCTGCTGGTTCGGTGTGGCTGGTCCGGTTCGAGGTTTTGGTTCAGTTCGGTTCGGCGAGTTCGGGTCGCGGGCTGGTTCGATTCGACCAGTTCGGTTCGACTCGTTGTTCTCGGTCTTCGGGTCGGTTCGCGGCCATCGTGTATACGTTCGTGTCAGGCGTGCGCTTCCAAAGGGGGCGCGCAGTGCTAGTGCGTCCTGCTGCGTCCCAATAGGGGGAGAATTCACAAGCTGGTGCCCATCATTCCCTCGCATCCAAGTGGGCCGTGACATGTGACAGTCCCTTCTCTCATCGCAGAAAATGTCCGCCGTTGCGCGCGTTGGGGGGGGAGCGGCAGCGGCCGGTGGCTCGTTGGGGCTCCTGGGGCTGTTTTTGGCCGTCTTGGCAGCTTTCTGGACCGTCCAGGGTCCTTTCAGGGTGCTCCCTGGGGTCTTTCTGCGGCCTGTCCTGGGCCTCTTGCCGTCTTGGGGCCCCTGTGGGCCGTCGTGGGGCCCCTGTGGGCCGTCGTGGGGCCCTTTTTGGGGGCTGTACGGCCGTCTTGGAAGTCTGTGGGGCTGTCTTGGGGTTCTCAGGGGGGCCGTCTGGGGGTCCTCCTGGGCAGTCTGGAGCTGTTCTGGCGGCGCGCCGTCGCGAGCTTGCCGGAGGTCACGTAGGGCAAGCACGCTTGTCTTCGGCGATTGTCGGGGTCTCTTGGGTCCTCTTGGTTCGGATGCAACATCTTGGAGGTCAAATTCTGACTTTGCCCTGGTCCGAGATCCGGCTTACTCCCGCTTTATCCGGTTGAATCCCTTTGAGTCCGGCTTTACAAAACCCGCTTAATCCGCGGCCCAATCCGGCGTAGCAGCCCCCAAATTAGGGATTAATCCTCTTCCGACGAAGACCTCCCAGTAGTTGCCTCCTAATCTTGGTGGCGCCATGGGTTGTCCTCGCGGCCTCTCGGGCATCTGGGTGGCCTTCACCCAGGGCCGTCTCGGAAGCGATCGGAAGTGCCAGGGAGGCGTCGGGTTGCCCGGCGAGCTTCGGGAGGGGGGCGACGCACCCAGCGAGGGGCGGTGCCCCACGAGGAGGTTCGGGGGCTTAGGACAGGGCGGAGACCCAGCAAGATGCCCCGGCACTGCATCCCGCCCCCAGTTTACCAGGGGGCTTTGTCGCGCGGATTTTTGGAACCTTGGGCTCAATCTTCCCTCCCCTTTGCCCCGTTCCCCCCCCTACCCCCATCCCCCCGTACCGCTCCCCCTCCCCCTCGCTCCCTCCCTCGAGCCTCCCTCTTGCCTCTGCTCGCCTCCTCCCGCCCCCCTCCTCGAACTCAACGCCCCCGCTTTCCTCCCAGCCTTCTCCCCCTTTCCTGTCTCTGTCCCATTTGCTTCCCTTCCCCTCTGTCCCCCTCTGGCCTGTCGGCCCCGTTGTATCTTCCGGCTCCCTCCCTGGCGGGCGCGCGGCAGAACTTCCAGTCACTCAGCGACTCCCAGTTGGCCGTCGTCTGCGCAGCGCACCGGTTGCCAGGCAATGTGCCCGATTGGAGGGGAGCGGGGAGGAGGAGGAGGAGGAGGAGGAGGAGGAGGAGGAGGAAGAGGAGGAGGAGGAGGACGGAGGAAGAGGAGGAGAAGGAGAAGGACGAGGAGGAAGAGGAGGTTGATGATGATGATGATGATGATGATGATGATGATGATGATGATGATGATGATGAGGAGAGGATGAGGATGAGGATGAGGATGACGATGCTGCTGATGATGATGATGATGATGGTGGTGGTGGTGGTGATGGTGCTGCTGCTGCTGATGATGATGATGATGATGATGATGATGATGATGATGATGATGATGATGATGATGATGATGATGATGATGATGAGGAGGAGGAGGAGGAGGAGGAGGGAGGAGGAGGAGGAGGAGGATAAGGAAACGGAAGAGGAGGAGGAGGCGCAGGAGGAGGAGAGGGAGATGGAGGAGGAAGAGGAGGAGAAGGAGGAGGAGGAGGAGGAGGAGGAGCAGGAGCAGAGGCAGGAGCAGGAGCAGCAGGAGGAGGGAGGAGGAGGAGCAGGATGACGAAAAGGACGAGGGTTGTCCGTAGCCATTTTGGCTCAAGCCTGCCTTTGGCGCCAGGCGGGCTGGCTGCTGGTTGTCTCTCCTGCTGCTTCTGCGCTCGAGAGCGGCTCAGTCCCAGTTTCCTTTCGCGACCCCCGCGATGTCGGAGGTCGGCCTGGAGGAGAATTGGCATGGCTGCGGGGGCGCTGCCAGCCGCATGGCGGCCCAGTGGGTTGCGGGCTCAGGAGATACTGGCCCTTGGAGCTTCGGCAGCGAGGCGCGCCGCGCGACTCAGGCGCCAGCATGCCTGCGAGGCTGCCCTCCGCAAGTTCCAAGCGGACGGCCTGGCGGCGCCGGGCTCATGGCGCGACCGCGAGATCGCGGCGAGACCTGCGCTGATGCTGCTCGCCGAGGGCCTGCCAGTTCCAGGCGGCCGCCGCCGCCGGCGGAACGCTGCGTGGCATGCGGCTCGCGTGCCAGCGAGGGGCTTCGCGCGCGCGTCCCCCGAGGACTTGGCCTGGGCTGCCGCGGGGCCCAGACTGGAATGCCAGTTCGCGGAGACAGGCGGCATCGTGAACGTGCCGTTCGAGTGCGTGCCGTGCCCTCCTGAGAGCGGGCACGCCGTGCATTGCCTCGCGGAGGCGACGCCGGTGCTGGCGCCAGGAGCTTGGCTGCGGAGCGACCCCATCGGCGAGGCCTGCGCCTTTGGCCAGGGCCTGGCGGCGGGCTGGACGCTTGCGCGCCGCCAGGCAGACGAGCCGCAGATGGAGTCCGACGAGCCCGTTCACGACGATAGCGGCAGCCTCGAGGGACCGCAGGCCGACGCAGAGGTCATCCAGGGCATCGAGGAGGAGAGCTCCGAGTCCATCGTGAAGCTGGACCTCGAGCGCCAGGACTCCGAGCAGAGGCCGATCGAGTACTTGGAGTGGGTCGCCCTCCCAGCCGCGGCCCTGAAGCGGACGAGGGCGGCGTCGGAGTGCGAGCAGCCCTTCGTGCAGCTGGCCGTGAAGCTCGCGCAGGACGGGTCGGTGAAGGTGGGGTTCCGCACGCTCTGCTCGAAGGGGCACGTGCTGGACAGGGACTCGAATCCGTTCGACGACCCGCTGCCCTGCGCCGCCTGCGGCATCATGATTCCCGTAGATGGCGTCATCTACGTTTGCGAGGACAGTTGCGACGACACCTTCTGGCCGTCCTGCGTGCGTGAAATATGACCGTGGGTGGCAGCGGCGCGCCCGCTGCTTGCTGTGCCGCCCCCCGACGGCGCGCGGCATGGGATATGGTTCAACCTCCTGTGTGAGGGGCGGATTCTTGCTGGCTGAGGCGCGTCACCGACCACTTCCGCCCTGGGAAACAGAACACAGAAACTGAACAGAAAAGGACGAGTGTTGCGCGAGGAGGACATTATAGAGATGGTGGAGCGTCAGGAGCAGCCACATATGGAGGAGCAGAAAGTGGAGAAATGGTGGAAGAACGGGAGAGTAGGAGGAAGAGGAAGATTGTGATGATGATTATGAAGACGATTATGATGATGATGCTGATGCTGATACTGATATGCTGATGCTTTTGAATGTGATGATGCTGCTGATGATGATAATTACGGCGATGATGATGCTGACGATGATGGCGATGGTGGCGCTGACGATGGTGACGATGATGACGATGATGGAGACGATGCACATTCCGATGATGCGGATGCTGATGCTGCTGGTGATGATGTTGATGAGGACGACGACGACGATGAGGATGCTGCTGATGCTGATGATGATGGTAAAGGTGTGGTGGTGGTTGTGTTGATGATCATGCGGATGACGTGGGCGTTGACGATGATGATGTTGGTGATGATGGCGCTGATAGTGATGATGGTGATGCTGATGATGGCGATGTTGCCGACTATCAAGATGATGCTGATACTGCTGACACTGCTGATGATTATGTTGATGATGATGAGGATGAGGATGAGACTGGGGATCATGACGATGACGATGCCACTGCCGATGCCGATGTCGATGATGCTGCTAATGATGACGATGGCGATGCTGACGGTGATAACGATGGTACTAATGATATTGACGGTGATGGTTGTTATAATGACGATGGCGATGTTGATAATGATGTTGGTAATGGTGATGATAATGACCGCGATGCTGACGATGACGATGCCGATGACGATTATGCTGCTGACGATGGTGATGATGAGGGGTTAGGATAATGAGGATGATGATGATGACGATGATGATGAAGATGACGATGATTATGATGATGATGCTGATGATGATGATGGATATGAGCAAACTGTCGATGGTGATGCTGATGATGATGCGGGTGGTGATGTTGATGATGATCATCATGGTGATGCTGATGATCGTGATGATGATGACGATGACGGTGTTGATGATGAGTATGATGCTGATGCTGCCAATGATCATGATGATGACGATGATGGTGACGATGATGACCAAACTGACGATGACGATGACGATGGCGACGATGGTGATGATGCTGATGCGGATGATGATGTTTATGCTGACGATTTTGCTGATGATGGTTGATCTGACCATGATGCTGATGCTGATTGCGCTGATGATGATGCGGATCGCGACGATGGTGATCGTGGTGCTGAAGCTTACGACTCTGATGGTACTTGTGCTAATGATATGGATGTTGATGACGATGATGCTGATAATACTGATGCCGATGACGATGCTGACGGTGATGATGATGCTGGTGCTGATTATGATAAGGATGATGACGTTGATGCTGATTCTTCTGATGCGAATTAGGAGAATGATGCTGATGTTGACGGTGATGATGTTGTTGGTGACGATGACCATGACGATGACGATGATGATGATGACGATGACGATGGCGATGACGACGCTGATGATGATGGTGGTGTTGGTGGTGAATGGTGATGATGATGATGATGAGTATTATGATGATGATTCGGATGAGGATAATGATGCTGATTATGATATTGGTGATGATGATGATGGTGGCGGTGATGATGATGAGGATGATGATGATGTTGATGTTGGTAATTATGATGATGACTAATATGATGATTGTGCTGGTGCTGGCGCTGATGCTGCTGCTGATGATGATGACGATTATGATGATGGTGATGACGATGACCATGATGATGATACTCATCATGATTATGATGATGAGGAGGGTGTGGAGGAGGAGGCGGAGGAGGAGGAAAATGACGGCCGTCACACGAGAGACCTTTCGTCTTCACTGTAGTCTGAAGGCCCTATGGCCTTTGCCACCGACTCTGAAGTCGGGGCCTCCCCGGGCCCCCGGGCCCCGCTCCCGGCACCCTTGGGCTGGGGCAGCAGAGCCGCGGCCGAGGCCGTGGCCGGGTCTGGGGCCGGGTCCGGGGCCGGGATCGGGGTTGGTCGATGAGGACCATGGGCCAGCCCCCCCCGGCCGCAGAGGGGACTCCTTGTCCCCCTGTCCACAGGTGGGACCACCCTCTGGGACTCCTGGGGGGGTGGCACTCTAACCCAGGACCCCCCCCCACCAATACCCCTCCCTACCACCCCCCTTGCCCCTCCCCCTACCCTCCACCCCCATACCCCCCCGCCCTAGCCACCCCCCAGGTTCGGAAAGGGAGAAAGGGAAGGGAATCGACTTAACTACGACGTCTTTTTTATCTGTTCGCTGCTCCATCTTGTTTGGACTGGCGACGACGACGAAGACGACGACGACGACGACGGCGACGACGACGACGACGACGACTAAGACGACGACAGCGTCTCACACACGCCGAAGGGCCGGCGGATTTGAGGAGCTCTCATGGAATTCGTGTGGGCCGTCTTGGGGGCGTCTCGGCCTCCTGCGAGGCAGCTTTGGGGGTCCCTTGGAGCCCTCAAGAGACCGTCTTGGGGCCCTTGGGACTCTCTTGGGCCGTCTTGGGGCCCTCTTGGCCGTACTGTGGGTGTCTGGGGGCCGTCGTGGGGCCGTCTTGGGCCGTCGAGCGGCCTTTGAGGCCGTCTTGGGTCCCACAGGAGGCCGTTTTGTATGCCTCTTGGGTCGTGGGACGTCTTGGACCATCTTGGGATTTTTCGGGGGCCTTTTGGACCGTCCGGGGGCCATCGTTGAGGCGTCTTGGGCCGTTTTGGGCTGACGGAAACCCGAAAAGGCGAGAACATGAAAATCGTTCAAACAAACACCAGGAAATCCTCTTGTGGCCCTTGGGGATCCTTGCGACCCCGTTGGGCCCTCGTCGAGTTATCCTGGGCCGTCTTGGGGCCATCCTGGACCGCCCTGGGGCCATCCTGGGCCGTCTTCGAGGCATCCTCGGCCGTCTTGGTGTCCTCGGCTACCTGCATGGGCACTCTTGGAATCTTGGGACGCGATTCTAAAACGAGCTGAGAGACGTAAGGAGTGGAAGCGGGCGTGCGCCCGCGGCCGCGTCGGCTCAAGCGGCCGGCCGCCCAAATATGACTGTGCTTCACTGCGAGGCACACAATCGCTAT